TATTTGGTACTAGACCTCATGTTCTAGATTTTTGTTGGTGTGGATATTAATATTATTAATCTCACCATCATATGGAAACTACTAAACACTACATTTGGAAAATTCATCTCAAGCATACTATTTCTCTTTTACTTTCTGCTCATTCATGAGGTCATAGTCACATGCATTAATTACATATCTCTGTATTTATACCTTTTTTTTTGAAAGATGAAATATTGATTCCACTCTTTAAATGACCATAATATCACTAGCCAAATATTACTCATATTACGAACTTGAAATAAACATACCACAAATTCTAATATTGGAAAATTTTATGTAAATTTCAATTGAATGTCAATCCACAAATAAATCTATTACTTACCACATGCACAAATAACATACTCCTTTACTACTATCCCAATAAGTTTTAATAGAATGAATGAATAAAAAAGAATAATTTATAGATAACCTATTTTAGCTACCCTTCATAAGCCATCAAGCAAAAAACAAGAGGCTAAATAATACACGTCATAGACCCATAGAAGATTCTCCCTTTGCCTTGAAATAAATTTACTTTTATTTATACGGTAGTACGGATACTAAGTAGTTAATGTTTTTATAATAAAAAAATAACAGCATGTCAAAAGTAACTAGAAGTACCAAATGTTCCTTACTTTCTACTACATCCGTCTCAAAATAAATTAATTTTTATATTTGTGTGTCTAAAATTTAACCGTCTGTATTATTTGAAAAATTTATGAATTTTTTTTAAAATAATTAGTCACACATAACTATTGATGTTTTATTATCTAATATGAATAAAAGTGTTTTATTATTTAATATGAATAAAAATGTTTTATAATCTAATATAAATAAAAAAAACAATTAAAATTGTTCTTAAATAAGATGTAAAGTCAAACGTTGTATTAAAAACTGAAAAATAAACACATTTCATGGGATGGAGTTAGTACGTCATAGATTCGATACTCCATACGTATACGTATAGCAGTCGGCAACAAGAAGTCATCAAAGGAGAGAAGCAAAACTGGAGGAGCGGGGCCTGGTGGTTCCCGTGGGCGGTGGCGCAGCCGCAGAGGATCCCGGCGGCAGTGGCGACGCGAGCAGAGGCAGAGGCAGCCGCAGCCAGCCGCCGGTCGCCCTGACCGCGTCCGTCCCTCCACCGCATGACATCTCGGACTTGGCTGCCCACTCGCTATCCCCAACCAACCAAACCAAACCAACCAACCATCTCTTCTCCTCTCTTCTCTTCTTCCCCTTTTCCTTCCTTCCCTCCTGCTCCCTCTCCTTCCCATTTCCGTTCTCCGCTTCCCCACCTCGCCTTCTCCGCTCCTCCTCCTCCTCCTCTCCTGCCGCTCTCCTGTGTGTGCTACCGGAAGCAAGCTACCCCCTCCTCCTGTAAGTGATTTTGCTTCCTCTTCGGCCTCCTTCTCCCAGCAACTGCAAAGATTTGTTCCTTTTTTGCTGGTTGTCTTCTTGGTTCTTGCTCGTCGTGCTCTTGTTTTTCTTGGATTTTGGATGCCTTTTTTTTCTTTAATTCTTGTGTTAGTATATAGCATGATGGGTGGTGTTGGTGGTGTCGTTTATGTGTTCTTTGAGATTGGGCGATCGGAAATTGGCTGGGGAACAAGAAGAGCCTGGTCAACTTCTCTGGTGTTTGTGTTGCTTTGCATGTAGAGGAGCGCAGGGCTTTGGGGGCTTTGGGATGTTACAACATAGAAGGGGAAAGGGAAATCTTCTCTTTTTTTTTGTGCAGTGTTAGTGATTACATCATGTTTCTTGGCTGATGCTGTCTGTGTGGATTGGAGGTTTATACCTCCAGAAAATCAGGTTCATGAACCACGGCAATTTGATCGGATATCGGTAGTATGATCATAGCTTGAACGGGACCCTGTAAAGATTTTTTTTTCTTTTTTCGGGGTATGTCGTGCTGGTGAGGTTTTACACCAATATTTTATTTGTGGCGCGTATGAGCTGTACTTTATCTCGGTATTTTCTGGTGTTTGTATTCTTGAATGTGGTTTTTGCGTTCTAGTCAGCTTGATTAAGGTTCCAGAAGCATGGCAATCGGTCAATATTGCTAGAGTAATTTTAGAACATGACTTTGCTCATCGTGCCCTACAAGCTTCTCGTTAGTTGGTACTGATTGGACAAAAGGAACTTTTTTTTTTGGCAGTGTCTGCTCTAGAGATTTAACTCTATCGATTGAGTTTTGGCATGGCTGGATGCCTGGATTACTCGTTGTAGCATGAGATCAGTTGGCATGTAGGTCAACATCGAAACGGCAGCCTGAATAACCCCACAGAAACTTCAAAATGACATTCTAACTCATTGCAATTTGCACGTACTTTCACCTTTCGGTGTTTGTTTCAATCATAGTTGGTGGAGATGCTCGAAGTTACTTCCATTATCTAAAAAAAAAATCATTTGCTTTGCTATTAGTTTGCATCAGAAGAACAATCAAAAGAAGCCGATTGAGTTTGTTAAATAGCTCCATGTGTTTCGAATGCAATGATAATGGTGTTTCACTCAACATATTGATGTATATTGTTTTATTTCAGGTATTTGTTCAATATCCATAATCAGAGGAAGCTGTGCCTTGAGTTTGAGTATTTAGCCTAGTAGGTTTAGAAGCACTACAGAAAAGTAATGTCTTTTATCAGGCGAGCAGACCCGTCAACCACTTACGCAGATAATCTTTACATACATAAATTTGGCACTCCAAATTCAAATTTCGCTGCACGAAGATATGCGTCCGACACACAGCTGTTCCGTTATGGGCCTGAACCATACAATCCTGAGAACTCCTTTTACAATCAACAGGCCTCACCAATGCCGTACATGGTAACAGCTGATGGCCATTCTCCATCTTCTGCAGACAATTCCTGCTCAGATGTGGCAAAAGACTCACCATTGGTGTCCAATGTATCTCAGCAGAATTCTCAGTCTATATCAGACAATCAGAGTTCTGAACTTGAAGTAGAGTTTGATGAAGATGATATCAGGATGAAGCTTCAGGAGCTGGAGCATGCTTTACTTGATGATAGTGATGACATCTTGTATGAGATTTCCCAGGCAGGTAGCATTAACGATGAATGGGCTGATCCAATGAAGAATGTCATACTCCCTAACTCACCAAAAGAATCGGAATCAAGCATCAGTTGTGCTGGTAGCAACAATGGAGAACCACGGACCCCAAAGCAGTTGCTCTTTGACTGTGCAATGGCATTATCTGATTATAATGTAGATGAAGCACAGGCAATCATAACGGACCTCCGGCAGATGGTCTCAATCCAAGGGGACCCTTCTCAGAGGATTGCAGCCTATCTAGTGGAAGGTCTTGCAGCAAGAATAGTAGCTTCAGGGAAAGGCATATACAAGGCCTTGTCGTGCAAAGAGCCCCCGACTCTTTATCAGCTTTCGGCAATGCAAATCCTCTTTGAAATCTGCCCGTGCTTCCGATTTGGTTTCATGGCTGCTAATTATGCTATACTTGAAGCCTGCAAAGGTGAAGATAGAGTGCACATTATAGACTTTGACATTAATCAGGGCAGCCAGTACATTACACTGATACAGTTTCTGAAAAATAATGCAAATAAGCCACGTCATTTGAGAATAACTGGTGTGGATGATCCTGAAACGGTACAGAGGACCGTTGGCGGTTTGAAGGTCATTGGTCAACGTCTAGAGAAACTTGCAGAGGACTGTGGGATATCTTTTGAGTTCAGGGCAGTTGGTGCTAACATTGGGGATGTTACACCTGCAATGCTAGATTGTTGTCCTGGGGAAGCACTAGTTGTCAATTTTGCATTCCAGCTGCACCACCTTCCTGACGAGAGCGTTTCAATTATGAATGAAAGGGACCAACTCCTTCGAATGGTGAAGGGTCTGCAACCAAAGCTCGTCACACTGGTTGAGCAGGATGCCAATACCAATACTGCTCCATTTCAGACAAGGTTAGTGATGTAAAATATCTTCTTAATTCTTTAGATCCACTTTAGAATGTTCCAGCCAAAGCTTACCTTTTATATTTTGTCTACCAACCTGTGAATGTACTTCCATCGCCAACTACTGACTCCTTATGAATCATGATAGCATCAAACATCTGAAACATTTCACCTTTGGTAGGTTCCGTGAGGTTTATGATTATTATGCTGCACTTTTTGATTCACTGGACGCGACACTTCCAAGGGAAAGTCCGGATAGAATGAATGTGGAGCGGCAATGTCTTGCTCGTGAAATTGTCAACATCTTGGCTTGCGAAGGTCCTGATCGTGTGGAGAGGTAGTTCCCAGTGCTATTTTCTACTCATACAGTCCACTCTCTCCTTTTTTTTTCCCTGAAAACATGCACAACCTGCAACTCCCAAATAGCTGACCGTGAACTTATTTATGCTGCAGATATGAAGTTGCTGGAAAATGGAGGGCAAGAATGACAATGGCTGGCTTCACACCATGCCCATTTAGTAGCAATGTCATCAGCGGGATAAGATCGTTACTGAAGTCGTACTGTGACAGATACAAGTTCGAGGAGGACCATGGGGGACTTCACTTCGGCTGGGGAGAGAAAACTCTAATCGTCTCCTCCGCATGGCAATAGAGCTTACAGAATGAGTTGGCATTAGTCTTGCTGTTATTTAGGAGCATCTGATGCAGAGACTGTAAAAAATGTGAACCACTGAACTTGTCAACTGATCTTACCTAATCGTAGATGTCTGCTTGTCAGAATAATCGAGTTAGTTGAACTATGTTGTATTAGAGAATTGGCACATGATCGTGTTGTATTCTGGGGTAGAATTATCTTGTCGACTCTGCTTCATGTATAAAATTATGTGTTGCTAGAATATGCCATATTTATCATCTTGGGAGCCTAAATGGTATTTGAGCCTGTGTTATGACAAATCGATCGCAAAATCTTATCATAAATCCAGTCATGAAAAAGAAAGCAAGCTCACAAGTGTTGCTTACATAGATCAATGGAAATATTTATATATACCAGAATGGCAGAAGAAATCATTTGTTTATCGAACAGACCGATCCTGTAAAATACATCAATTTTCTCTACAACATTTGAAAATTGTACAATGCTAGTAACTTGTATAAGCTTAAAAGACAATACATCGATTTTTTTTTCCTGAGAGGTACAATACATCGATTTTCTCTACATCATTTTGAAAATTTGTAAAATAACATGTAATCTGGGTGACCAGACTCTGGTAGTTTCTGAGAGTATGAATCGTGAACACAATATGCTATACATGATATGTGCATGTCAATCTTATCTTCAGTGGAAAGCACAATCTTATCTCCTAGGTAAGGTGTGCCATGAATTCAACGAACTACCATCACTGCCAGGTTGCATTTTCATCCGTTTAGTGGATTCCAAAAGTCCAACAAGGGACGGGAGAGGTCGTGGGACAGGGACATTCCTTGATCTGTACAGCCTCTTCAAACTTGCATTCAAGCATTTCGATGATCCAGTAACGCACAAGGTACCCCTTTCACAATCTGTTGTTTCTTCTCCTCTGACCATGCAAAGGTTTGAACTTTCAGCAAGATTTGTTGATTCTGACTCTATAACAACTTCAGACTTTTCAGGTTTATCAGCCACCGGTGACAAACTGCACTCACCAATAGGTGAAGACCGGATTGAGAGTTTTTCTAATTGCCTTGGGGATGCAGCACGCTGACAATCATCTTCAGATCCTGAATAACCCCTTCTGACCATGCAAAGGTTTGAACTTTCAGCATGATTTGTTGATTCTGACTCTATAACAACTTCAGACTTTTTAGGGTTATCAACCACCGGTGACAAACTGCACTCACCAATAGGTAAAGACAGGATTGAGCGACTTTCTAATTGCCTTGGGGATGCAGCACACTGACAAGACGGGTCCTCATCTTCATATCCTGAATAACTCTGTTGGGACTTCGATGCTTGCACTATGACAAAATCAGTCCGTGAATTTGGACATGTTTCAACTTCACTGCTACCATCACAGATCAAATATGCTGTTGAATATGCCCTGGCTTCTTCAACAGCAATGCGCTGATTGCACAGTTCTTCTCTCATTATGTCAATTTCTTCAGAGCCAAATCTTGCTCTTCCAAACAGTGTAATATCTGGTTCCTGAACTGGAGGGGATGGCATGAACTTCAGTTCAAGCGTGCAGATATCAAAGTCTGTACATTCTTCACCACTAGGAGAGGCTGAATGATCATGATCATCATCGACAGAAATCGAGTGATCTTCATTTGTGTGCGTGTCGGAATCCAGCAATGTAGAAGGGGAGGACACTGACTTTCGGAGAGGATTCTTGAATATCTTCCACAGTGGATCATCAGCAGTTAAGCAGGTCTTGAAACATTTTTTCTTTACATAGCTCAATTCCATGGCAAAGCATGGTGGTGTTGTTGAAATTACCCATTGAGGCTGGAGAAGTTCCAAGGCCTGTTCTAACTCATCACGAGAGGAATGGATGGAGAAACAAATGTGCCAGACCCCACAACCATCCAGCACAGCTTCTGTTAGGCTAGGTTTCTGGCTTTGAGCACAGTGCGCATACCACTGTGTTGAGGGACGGATAAATAGAGGTTCAGGCTGAAGGCTAGCCCTTGCCTCTTCAATCTTTGTACATGCTTTGTCATACAAGTTTTGGAATCCAAGAATCTACAAAGTAAGAAAGTTGCAAATGAAAAAGAATAAAATGAACCTCTCCATGCAAAACATAGCACAGACCAGACTAAAATGAACCTCTTAGATCCTGTACTAGCCAAGGTTGATTATAATCCTGAATGTACTGTTCTGTTCTAGCAAACAATTTTAGTATGAAATGTAGATAGAGAGGCTGGAATTGACTTTATCGGTTTCTTTCCTTTTTGCAAGGAGACTGGAGAGTGTGCTCTGTCATATGATTGTTCAATAGGCCTGGCAGCAACTAATTTTGCTTCAGAACAACAATAGGACAAAGGTCACATACAGTGTGTACTACCATGAGCATAGACTATGTACTCATAGTTAGGGATTGGATCAGACTGGGCCAACCAATTGTTTAGTTCCTTTCCAAGAAAATACTTAAGTGCATGCGCACAAGATTATTCACTACTTGCCCTTTATCCTTGCCAGACTTCTATCAATATTTTTTGACGAAACAGCAGCTGTCCCAAGATCCCTCTAAATCGCAAGAAAGGTAGTAAAGTAGGGCTTGGGGACGACCACTTGGGGTCATATGTGAAACTGGGTACCCACACTCATTTTTGCCGGGTTGGCCGAAGGATTAGGCAAGATTGAAACAGTTACAACATCGACAGGATGCTGTCGAAACTGGGTACCCACGCTCATCACTACATGTAGATAGTCCATGCAGTATAAACTATAAGCCATCTTTCCCTTCACATGCAGGGTTCCAAAATGGAGATAATGGAAGCTAGTGGAGTGTAAAAAAATTACAATGGAATTTATTACTTGGACTAGCCTACCATACCTGGAATCGACAAGATGGATCTTCAGTGATGATTTCTGGGGCTATGAGAGATAGAGCTCGAAAACAGTCCGAGTTCCTTCTCTTGTCAACATAAATCTTTGATCCAAATGTCCTTGACACCTCAATTAGGATCTCTTCGTGACCAAGAAGATCACATGCAAGATAGACAAATGGAGCATGAGGATGCTTCCATATGCAAGCTATAACCTGCAATCACTGAAACATTTCTCAATGGTGACCATCCATGTTGTCATATGCACACTCCTACAGTTACCAACAAGCACATTTAATCTAAGCGGAGAGGAAAACCTGCTGAATAGCTGACTCCTTGCTTGGTAGCTTGAGGAAGCATTTGGAAAATGTGCAGTCCAGGAACACAAAGTCTAAACGGCAAATGTTTTCTTTCCCTTTCTTTGCTATGTACTTCAGTGGCAAATTATGTACACAATCTGGCGTCAGCCGACAGTCCCCCGTGTGCAGAATGCTACCGAATTGACCCTCGAACAAGAACATAACCGCCCCTGGTATCACAGAACACGCAAGCATTAGCCGTGGTCAACCCTTCCCATTTCTCAATATACAAATTCAATAATGTTGCGCTGAAAATGGCCTCATAGAACGATGAATCACTCCGCCTGAACAGCGGAGCAAAAACTACAATTCCCATGGATCTGTTAAAAAAAATCGGCCGCTGAATTGAACAATCACTCCCACCATCACACCCTGATCCCTGACAACTAAGTAATCTACTATTTCTACCAGCAAATTATCAACTTATATATAGCACGGTAAGCTGTAACACGACGGTATGCAGAACTGAAGAAGCGGAACCAGAATTACCAGGGCAGTGATTGGCGTCGTACGCCGTGACGGAGAAGGCCCCGGCGGGGTCGTCCACCACCACCGTCTTCCCCACCTCCATCTCCACGAACTCCCCCCGCTCAAGCTGCGACACCACGAGCGACCATTCGATTAGCACGGCACCCACCACCACCACACGGGAACAGAATCGGCTTCCGCGAGTCGGGGGGGCAGTTTTACCCGGGGAAAATGGCGGAGGGCGAGGTCGAGGGTGAGCCGCGTCGCGTAGACGGCGCCGGGGCATTCCCCGGAGTCGGCGGCGCCGCCGGCGGCGACGAGGTGGTCCCGGTGCGCGTGGGTGAGGAAGCGGTGGCGGCGGCGGCGGGAGGAGGGGCCCCACGTGTCGACGGCGAAGGGGAGCCGCCGCGGCATCTCTATCGGCATCCTCCCGAGAACTTTCCGAAATTACAGTTCAGTCCTCCGCTCCCCTGAACCTCGCCGCCTCGTTTGGTGGGGCCATCGGGTTGAGTTAGTTGTGCCCGTTTATATACCCGCGGGAAGTGGCGCCTTCCAGAGGAAGAAAGGCTAACGGGCTAATGGATGATAACGGGTTTTATTTTTTTACATCCATCCATGACCCGCTAATAAGTAGTACCAGTCTGATTTTGATGGGCCCAAGCGTTGGTATGGGCCTTCACAAACCGGTGGCTTGATACACTTTCGGCCCAATAACAGTACGACAATGCAATGTGAGATCCATAAAGATGCAGCCCAATTAAACTAGATTTTTTTTCTTCTTTTTATGCATTTCTGCTCGGATTCTTCTTCATTATGGGGGCCTGGGGGGCATACAGTATCGTACGGTAGAAAAAAAAATGGGAAATGGCTTCACGCTTGCAAGAACAGAACGGGAAATACAGTATCATACTCTCTCGATCGGGCACGAGAGACAGAGATCAGTAAAAAGAAAAATCAAGAAAGGCGACAGCAATAATCTGCTTAACCACTAATCAATCCAGCAGCAGCAACAATGCTTTAAGCTGCATTCTTCCGTGCGTGTCGGCCGGGCGCCGTGCGGGGCCCCGAACGCGTCACACCTGGCTGGCGACCTTGTCGTCCGCCGACTTGCCATCGGCGTCGGCGTCGGCGTCGTCGGCGACGACCTTGTTGGTCTTGGCGTCGGCCATCTCCACCGCGGCGGCCGCCTTCTTCGCGTCCTCCACCTCGTCGGCGGCGTCCCCCTTCCCGGCCGCCGCCGCCGGCGTGGCCCCCTTGTGGTTCCGGTAGATCGCGTAGAGGATCAGCTGCATCAAGCCCAGAAAGCTCCCGCATCCATTGGGGATCTGCACGTCGTACAACACAACGATGCAATTTCGTCAGTTAAACTCTTTGCGTGCCATTCGTGTGCACGGCTATAGCTGCTACTCCTATGCTCCCTCCGTCTCATGAAAAATGAATATGTGGCATATCCTAATACTACAGATCTGGATATATATATATCCAGATTCATAGTATCACGAATCTACGATGCGTCATATCTGGTTCTATATTTGTTTTTCATGGAATGAAGGGAGTACGTACGTACGCCCAACATGTGCGCGCCAAGTTGGACGAGACACCGAAAGGATAACCGACGCCGCCGGCCATTTCGCGGCATTGAGTTGCAAACAGCGTTGCTTGTGCAGTGCAGTGCTGTGCTTTTGCAGCGGTTTGCATGTGCCCATCAGACAGTACGATCAATCGAGATCCAAACAAAAACACAAAAAGGCATCGATCGGATTGGATCATATGTCTCGTCGTCAGGTTACGTATCTTTCTGTAATCAACGTCGACAGGTTGCTTGTAGGCTTGCAGCAATTGACAGCGAAAAGAAAGACGATGAGTAAATTACCGCGATGAAAGGGTCGCGGCCGAGCAGGCCGTAGATGAACCAGGAGGTGCCGCACAGGAACACGGACAGGGAGAGCAGGAACGGCATGAACTCCACGCTCTTCGTCTTGATCACCAGCCTCTGCACACCGGAGTCAATTGATCAGCGAATCAGATTATGGTTAATTTTGTTAGTTATTACTCCCTCCGTTTCACAATGTAAGTCATTCTAACATTTCCCACGTCCATAGCGATGTTAATAAATCTAAACATATATATCTATTTAGATTCATTAATATCAATATAAATGTGAAAAATGCTAGAATGACTTACATTGTGAAACGAAAGAAGTACTATACTAGATCATTTGTGTGGTGTGTACTGTCTTACCATGATGGAGAGAGGCGAGGCGTACATGCAGATGGAGAAGATGGTGGCGGCGAGGCCGCAGAAGAGCTTGCGGCCCTGGCCGTGCAGGGCCAGGAGGGAGACGAGCACCACCATGGTGAAGATGGAGGTGACGAGGCCCAGGAGACCCATCATCTTCAGCCTGGCCTTCCTCTCCGCGAAGATGAGGAAGATCACCACGTAGATGGCCTCGATCACCGACCCCGTCCCGTTGATCGTCGTCACCAGGATGTTGTTCGGTGACACGAACGGCAGCCCGTACCTTCAACCACCATTCATCGTTCATCACAAACCAACAGCAATGCTGTAATTCTGGTTTTCTTTAAAAAGATATATATATATAAGTTTCAGTTATAGTTATAGATCGGTAGATTTCAGACTGTATCTTGTCAACAAAACTCCATCTGGAAAGAAAAGTTTTGACTCCCAGAAGAAAGCATGTGGGCATGCACACACAAGAGCGGAAAAGAAGGAGATTTTCAGAGCTGGTGCGATATGGTCTCTACAACTTTTATGATATTGTGCTTTGCCTTGATATTTTGGTACTAACACTAACCTGCGAAGAATCGACTCGCGGATAGTGTTTCTCACCTGCCAAACACACACACACACACACCTAAAATCATACTGGCCCAAAAAAGCTCACCCACTTTTTCGAGCTACAAACACTCGAACGTGAGGCTGCATGTGCTTGCACAACGGCCTCTTGGGCCCACATGTCACAGCCATCCTGGCCATGCCGGCAGCAAGGGCTATAGCTGCTGCTGCACACACACCAGTGATACAGTGTGTGTACAAGTTCCTTCGCAGGAGTCACTGTCACAGCGATGGCAGGTGGGTCCAGGAGTAGCTTTCCATCGACGAGGCAAATTGGACAGAGGCTACACTAGGAGCCAACCACTGTGGTTCCCATCAACAGTATCATCCAGTGTTTCCGGATGAATTACGGCAATAGGAGTAAACATCAAGTTAACTTTCAGTAATCAGTAGTACTATTACTGATGAGTCAATTACTAGGTTCACTAAACTTGCTCATGTTGTGGAGTAGTGTGTGTCTATCGAGAATCACACGAAACTTCTGAGAGAAAACGTAGTGTAATGTTGTGGGGGGAGAAATGCAGATGGTGTGGAGAGGAGTGTGAGGTTTCAGTTAGTTACCAAGCAGATAGCAGGCAGTTGAGAAGTGTCATGTTGTAAGGCACGCCGGAGAAGTCCTCCGTTGATCTCTTCTTGATGATCCTCCAGAAGGTGACACTGTAAAATGAAAAAGAGCCATCAAAATTTTCTCACCGGTCAGAAGAAACAAGCGGCATTCGTGCGACCGATGCACACGCATCAACGCATGGGTAGCTGCCGGTGAGGCCGGCAAACAAGCAAGCAGGGGAAAAATTGCAAGATTTTTTAACTTTGATAACTTCTTTTGCGAAAAAGGTTGACCAAATATCATGGTAGATGAAACTAAGGAGCAGAGCAAGCTGACACTCTCCATGAACAAAGACACTCTACTATGTTAGCTCCTTTTTTTTTTCCAGACACAGAGACTATGAGTTACAGGTATCTTTTGTTTCTTCTTCCCTTTTCACTTGTTTTTTTTTCCTTCTTCCCACCTCTGCTCACACGTTACAAGACCTCACAAATTGGGATAAGATTGACGATAAGGCTAGGCAGCAAGGAATCAGAAACTTACACTGGCGAAAGGAACAGGAAGAGAGCGATGACATTGCCTGGAAAACGGAGCCAACAAAAAACTTAGAACGAATTCACAGTAGTGTAAAACTTCACCAAAAATTAACCAGCAAAGTAGGTAGCTCTAGGAGCACCCATACACCTTCATTTCTTCGAGTGTTCGAAGATGGGAGAAACAAATACTACATGCACATATAGACAGATAGGAAATTAAGAACAAGCTGCAGCTAGCCATGGCGGCACACTCACCGGAAACTCCAAAGAAGAACCTCGCGATGTGCTCCATTTCGATACGTTTATCTCTCCTCCTTGTGGCTAGAATAGATCGCTTCTAGCTCTCCCGAGAGTACTGCGCTGAATGGATGGCTGGCTTTGCTAGCTTCTCAGCGGTGGACTACTGCTACACAACACTACAACACGGAGCTACTTCTACCAATGCGGTGCCTCTGTGTGTGTGCTTATATAAGGGAGTGGAGATATACAGAGCAACACTGGTGTGTAGAGAAATATGCCAAGCTTTTTTTTTTTAACGAAAAACAGCACTAGAGTGACTTTTCATTGAACAGGGCAGGAGAAAATACAAACCCCTAGGGGTAAAAGGAAAACGGAGAACCACTATAGCTGTACACTATACATAGTGCGGGATTAACTCACGCAACCGCTTAGCTCCTGCTAAAGCCAAAAGGCTTGCCTAATCTTTGATTTTCGTTAGTAGGAAGTTCGTTGCCAAGCTTAAACAGATGTTGTTTGAAATACGTACGACGATAAATTTTGCTCCTAATCTATGTGAAGACAGATATCAGTAAATTTGTCGGTACTTTTATTTCATTGTGTTTTTAGTAGTTCTGTAGGAGCATAAATATAGAGTAGATGTAGGAAGCCACAACTATTTTGTGAAAACTATCAGTACACTAGTACAACTTTAGCTATGCAATTTCATAGAAACTGCATCGATGATAACATGATTTAAACAGAAAGATGCAACTTTATATGTCCAATATATTTGAGCCCACACGCCATACACATATGCAATACTCGTGTTGTTGCATGTCGGGTTTATTATGTCATACACACGTAGAGGATGGAGTTACGATTTTCAAATAAATTATTGTCATTTTCCGTAATAGCTCGACAAAGTTGTAACAAATTGTTACTTTTTAGCCTGTGTTCAGCTGGGCTAGGCTGTGGTAGCAGCCAGTTTGAACTACCGCAGCCGCAGCGGCTACAACAGTAAGTGCCTCTGAATAAAGCCTTAATCATGAGTAAATTGCGTTGATGACATACAAACTTGTTAGATAACTATGATTTAGTACACATACTAGAAAAACCGTGTGGCTTCGCCACGCATGGTAAAGTGAACCTAGCTCATTCGACTTTAGTGGAGTAACTAATTAGGGCCCCTTTACTTGAAAGAAAAATATAGGAACTTTTATTCTGTATAGAAACGATAAACTTTGCTATAGGAATTTTTTCTATATGATTCTTTGAACCAAAGGATTATTGAAAACTATTGAGTCTTATCAAATTTCTAAGGAATGCCCAAATTCATACAAGTTTTGGAGTATTTTTAACATGAGGTTCAATATCATGCGAAGTCTCTTATGAGTTTATCTCTCTCATCTAATTCTTGCATTTTTCATACGGTCCAATCAAACGATTATTTCATATATTTTTATGTGTTTTATAATTCTTTGTTTTGCGCTTGATTTTTTGTCAGAATTTTATGTTTTCCCTATTCATCCCTCAATCTTCGTTTCAAAGTAGCCCTCACAAGACATATATAGGTTGCATTGGACCGAGGGAGAACAGAGAAAGGGACAATTTTGTTTGTACAATTGTACCCCTACTTTGATGTCAATACCGATTTTACCCTACATTTTAGGGTTGTTGTTTTTTGCCCTATTTTTTTCAATAAATGAGGCGTTTACCCCTGTTTTTGATGGAAGTGAGTGGGATTGGACTTAGTGCGGTAAAGAATTAGAGAAAGAAAGAGATAACGATTTTTTAAATTATTGATTGACCCTTTTACCCCTAGAAAATATCCATGTACCGCTTGGTGTCCCTCCAGGCTTGGGCACTTGGCATCAACTCTTCCCTTCCTGAACCCGAATCCCCGTTGTGAAACAGTGGCGGCAGTGTCCGTGGGCCGGCCAGGCAACGGGGACGACCCGAGCAAGTGCAGGCCACCTAACCCAGTTGCAGCGTGTAGGAGGAGGCTAGGCATTGTACAAGAGGCCATGGTAGAGAGGAGGACAATGGCGGCTGCTGTAGCTCAGCGTAGGGAGGAGGTGCGGCTGCTCGACGTGTCGAGGAGGCGACGGGGAGGAGGACAACAGGTCAACGACGGTGGTGGTGGCTTGATGATAAGATGAGGCAACAGCGGCGGCTTAGCGCGAGGAGGTGATGGTGGCGGCTCGACGTGGGGAGGACGTGGTGGCGGCTCGGTGGGAAGAGGAGGCAACAACGGTGGCGGCGGTTTATGAGAGGAGGCGACGACGACAGCTTGGCACAGGTAGGCAATAGATTTGCTTGACTTGTTTGTTTTTCTCAAGATGTCAAACTTTGAAGCAAATTTTTGTTGATATTTATGTTAAAATTATCATATTGGTAAAAGTTTATCGAATTTGCAATGTTCATGTGCTAAATGTGGGCAAATTCTCAATCATGAACAAAAACAGGGGAAGTTTGCAACATGAGTAAGGGTATTGAATGCCTTCTCGCTAAAGATTTAACATCGTTAATCTGTCCATCAAAAGTAGGGACTAAATTTATCTTTATTTCAAAAAACCATGGGCAAAAACAAAACCCTAAAATACTGGGCAACATCAATATTAAACATCAAAGTAGGGGTAAGAATGAAATTGCCCCAAAGAGAAAAGGTTATATGATTTCTATAGAGGAAAACACAGGAAAGAAATAATATAAATCACATGAATACGGATACAAAATAAGGAAACACAATAACTGTAAAAGAATGGATGTTTGCAACGTAGGAATTATAGTGGGTGATTTGATTACATCCTGTTAATCCTCTTTTAGTCTCTAACCAAAGTATGTATCATTACTTCTTTAATCCTCAATATCCGGTGGTAGGAGGAAGCAATAGCTGCCTGAGCTTTGCCAGCCGTACGGCGGCAACGCGAGAAATCACATAGCCTGCACGCGCGCAATTAGCAGGATCGAGCCGTCCCGCGAAACCGGCGTTGCCACGTGGCACAATTCTTCTTTCAATTGTTTGCATGGAATTCGTATTATAAGATTTGTAAAATGCTCATTATGATACACATATTTGTCTAGTGCATAAGAACTAGTACAAAACGATATATTGTGACTAATCATATTGAATTAGTAAAATGTCTGCACGCACACATGAGGACGTGAGATATGTCGCATGTGTAAATAATTAACCTTTATACATAATATTTATTTTATTATTTTATTATATTTTTTTTAATATGTATAATTAACATGGCTTATTATATGTTTGATTGGACATATGTATATTATATGTCTTGACATACAAGTCTACATAACATCCCAAGCAACATCCAACTTATTAAAATTAGTTACGACACGTTGGTTAGCTTTAGTTTGTACACACTAGATAACTTCGTGACCGAAGTGAGCGATTTACAGGTTCATATATTAAATCGGACCTACCTTGGAAGTTCATATATCAGTAGTGTAATTTACTCTTTAATCGTATAATTGTTCTTTTTGTAGAAAGATACTCATAAATATTTCATTTATAGAAGTGATGGTTGGCGATATACGTTATTGACAGTGTCCATGTCTAGAGACGGTGAGAACTAATCGCAAAAGGCAAAATAAATTAAAAAGTAAAAAGAAAATGAAGGGAATGGCTATTGGATGAATGTTCATCTGACCAACCTGTAAACAATATGTTGTCTTTCTTATCTACACGTTTATTTATAAAAGCTTCTGGCAGCTGTAACTTATCTAATAATTATAAGTTTTCCCCCAAACAATTCAGATCATCGCCTATGTTCTAATAGTCCGGTTGTATAATCTAGAAAATAAACTAAAAGCTGAGTTTAGCAGCTTCTCCAGATTTTCAGAAACTGAATACCAAGATGATCTACTCAAGTAAAACCTCAGCTCTCCTACTTTCCTCCGCAATCACCATCCACCTCCAACTCAATGCCACCTCCACCAGTACTACTGTACTAGTGCACACCCCTTCTCCGGCTGCAGTCGGTCCGCACTGTCCGCGGCTTGAGAATTCAGACAACAGAGAAAAGCTACGTAGTAGCACACATACGTACCAGCCAAATCCTTCGGCGGTGGAACCAGCGAAATTTGCGTGGACGAGCGTGTCGTTTTGGGGACATTAATATTGTTGTCGTGCGCGCGGCCCCGCACTGCCCCGGCATGGCGAAACTGCAGGTCTCTGCTCCTCGACTCCTCTGCACCAGAAGTTCCGTGCTATTTCACGAGACCAACATGTACATAGCCAGTTTACTCGGCTAGTCCACTAGAATCAGCGGCAGAGCTGGAGTAAACCACAGCCACAAGTGACTGTACCCCTCCCCTACTGATGGGCACGTTCAGAGAGTGAACAACCGCACGGAGTTTATAAAGTCCAATTTTTTCTTTCAAGTTCCCCTCTTCTCGTTCATTGATCTGGCTAGAATAATGGGCATATTTTTCTTGGCTGTAACAAATGTTGGATGATAATTACAGCCACATCAAAGATCTGTAGCTCGTAATCATGATGTGAATATGCGTTCCAAATGCTATAGATTTATTTTTAACAATTTCTGAAAAAACTGAATCACTGAATCTAGACGCAACGCTTCTCCTAAACATAAGAACAAACAGTTGTTATGTGAATGATCGGTAAGCTTTCTCGATGACATGCAATCTACTTGGCTGCGTTTGAGAGAAGCTCAAAGAGAAGAAAAAAAATCATTTCTTTTGCGCACACACTTCCTGAACCACTAAACAATATCTTTAAAAACCATATTAATCCATATTTTAAGTTTCAAATAATTAATACTTACTTAATTAGGCATCAATAGATTATCTCGTTTTATGTATATTCTCTATTTGTGTCTTCTTAAACACAGACGTAGTGAAAGTTTTCTAAATAGAAAGCCTTGTTATAGGTTTTTTCACCGGGCCTAAAATCTTATATGGCGTAGCAGCTATTTCCTCAATTTCAAAATATAAGGATTTTTAACATTTAAATATTGTTGATGTTTAGTGCATCATTTGTTCTATCAATCACCTTTCATTTGTTTTTCCCCCATTTTACCTCCACGTACTCTCTCATCTCCACTCATCCTTTATTTTTTACACTAAAATCCACTTTTTAATCTTAATTTTTGCTAAACAATATATAAATGCTTATATTTTATAGCAGTTCATAAGGTTGAATCCTCCATTTGACAGCTACTAATAATGATACTCCGTTCGTATTTTGACTTTTTGTT